GTTGGGTAGGGCTGTTGATCAGTATGAATATGTATGGAAGTGCGCACACTACACCGAGTTGGTATAGGCCGACTTTTCATACAAATTGTAAGTCGACCCAACTATTGACTAGTCTATCAATATCTAAACTAAAAAATCTATAGTCTGCGGGGTATCTTACAGATGATTTTGCAACGCACCAAAGATATTTTCAGGATAACGTGACGCGCGCTGAAATTACTAGCGCATCGTGTAAACGTGGTTTTATCTCACAGTATTTATTCAATAAAAGCTATACGACACGGAACAATTAATAACATTAGGTATCCACTGTTTCCAAAAATATTTCCACTAAAAAACCTAATCATAAATATAGATATTTTTAAGTAAATATTTTTCATTCTCGTTACACAATAAGTCTTTGTATTTGCCCTTTATTTTTCCACATATCTGCCCCGATACGAGAAGTGAACCGCAAACAGTGCGGTGACGAGCCTTGCACACACACGAAACAATGATTTTATTGTGACTCGTCAAGTCAGTTCCACAAAAGAACGTAAATGCAGTTGGATTGATAAGGATTTCATTCAAGTCAATACGTTTATCAAGTTCGTGTCCTGTGTGATGGATGATAATACAGTGATATGTTATGCAAGTACTGTTATTCAGTCTTTTGAATTCTGATTTGATTCACACCTTAAAGACTATTTAAAAAAAAAGATACAATAGGGTTTATGCCTTATCGATTCCTAGATGCAATACATTAGTGAAAAATAACTTTCCCAGTTCTTAAGATTACCTAGTCTTTTCCGAGAATTATTTCGTATGAACTTGGGAACGTTGAGCTATCCGGTGCCGTTAGGTGTGTGGCTTGGCCCAAAATGACCTCTATTCGATTAAACCTAATTTGTATCCGCTGCAATTTTATGCAAAGCAAGAGTAGACATGATTAACTTAAAATAAAAATATGCTGAACAGGCGCCCGCTCAGCAAAAAATCGCGACATGACACAAACGTCATCGTCATCAAGCTAGTTTTCAGCGAGAACCAACGCGTGAGGCGGATTGCGCGCCCCTCTGGTCGAGACGGTTTGATCAGACAGGTTTATAAGCAATTCTGTTCATGTTTTTAATATTTTAGACATTTTTCTTTCCCACTTGTATTTATCATGCTTAGAGTAGCCTAAAATGACCTTCGATTTAAATAGTCCCGGAGAGTCTCCTGTTTACTCCTGCCTTATCGGTCAGACAATGCTCAGCCACACCAAAGTTTGTCCGCATTTATCTTGCTTTATCGGTATTTGATCGCTCTACATCGTACACACGTGTACAAAGACGATACAGGAATGACAACGGTTATTGGGACTCTACAATTGATTGATTCGATTATATTTTTAGTATGTTCAAGAAAAGTTTGCTTTTATTCAATTGCATTTCTATTTAAATTTAACAGAACAATAAGCAAAATAGTTCAGTAATCTATATCTATATCTATATATGCCTTGGCCAAAAGTATTGAGCACCCATGATATTTATTAATTTTGAAGGAATTATACATGTGTCTGAATCAAAACAGTTTTTAACAGTTTTATATTGTTTATTAACAACAAAAAAATAATACTTTGTTGGACCACCCTTTGCCTTAATTACTGCAGAAGTTATTTTTGGTAAAGATTGTACTAATTTATTACAATCGTCACATGTTAAAGCGTTCCACTCTTCCCGCAAGCGACGTTTTAGGTCTTCTTTTGTTTTTATTCAATGGCGCCGGACCTTGTCCTTCAATAGACCCCACAAATGCTCGAAGGGGTTCAGGTCTGGTGACTGGGCAGACCATTCAAGCAGCTCGATGTTATTGTCACTAAACCAAGCCATCGTTAGTGACAAGGTGCGTTATCCTGCTGGAATTTGACGCTATCCATGTTGGTGTCACCAAAAAGTGTTGTAAACGAGGGCAGAAGTGCGGATTCAAGAACGTTTATGTACTTTGTAGAGTCCATGCGTCCTTTACACACAAACATTTTCCCAACTCCTGCGGCGCTCATGCACCCCCAGACCATCACACTGCCGCCGCCATGTTTGACGGTAGGTACCTTACACTCCGGGGTAAATTCTTCGTCTACTCGACGACGGACAAATGTCACACCAGGTGTGCCAACAATCGTAAAGTAACGAAATTTTGTTAAGTGTTTTTCGGTCCAATATTTATTTTTACAAATATAGTTTTATAATATTATTGTCGCGTATTGTTAATACATGATATTGGCTAACTTACCTCAAAGTTTGATTCATCTGACCACACAATATTTTTCTAATCTTCCTCGGTAAAAGTTTGGTATTTTAAAGCCTACTCGTAACGAGCTGTTTTGGTCTTTACAGAAAGCCATGGCTTCTTTCTGGCTGTATAGCCCTTAAGCCCAGCTTCTTGGAGTCTTCTGCGAGTTGTTCTTGCAGAAATCGGCGTATTAATTTCAGCTGATAACTCAGCAGCGAGGTCGGAAGAAGATTTTTTATGATTTTTCAAAGACTAACAATACTACAGTGTCATAGCTAAACATCTCGAAACGTGTTTTATTGCACGTTGTGCCGTGAGTTTATGTTTCAAAACCTGTCAAAGAAAGGTTTTTATCAAATATCTTTGAGAATCTTTTATAGTTATCACGTATAAGCAGTATTTAGGGGGTGCTCAATACTTTTGGCCAAGGCTAAAAGAAAGTTGTGTTAGTTACTTCGCTTATAACTCAAGAACGGCTGAACCGATTTAGCTGAAAATTGTCAGGGAGGTAGTTTAGAGCCAGGAGAAGGACATAGGATACTTTTTATCCCGTTCGAAATTAAAAAAAAAGTCTGCTTATTTATTGCCATTAAGGCGGAACAAAGTTCGCCGGGTCAGCTAGTCTATTATATAAAAGAAAGTCGTGTTAGTTACTCCAGTTATAACTCAAGAACGGCTGAACTGATTTAGCTGAAAATTGTCAGGGAGGTAGTTTAGAGCCAGGAGAAGGACATAGGATACTTTTATCCCGTTCGAAATTAAAAAAAGTCTGCTTATTTATTGCTATTAAGGCGGAACAAAGTTCGCCGGGTCAGCTAGTGGTAAATATAACAGTAATTATTAGTTCAACGCGTGTTTAAAGTACCGTCCAAACAAACAATTTTCAATAAATTGCCTTGAGTTTAGTTGTAAGTAGATTGATATAGTACTACATTCCTCTTATTTACAAAAATATTACCAGTGTTGTAAATGAAATGTTATGTCACTTTGTTAGAAAATATTGATAAAATAACTTATGCCCCATCAAATTCAAATATTAAGTTTTGTTTACTTCTTAATGCCCCATGAAATGAAAACAACCAGCTTATGCATAGTATCTAGAGTTTTAGTTCTTATGCAACAAAACTCTACATTATGCCATAAGCAAAGCCCAACCAATAATAATAACCATAGAATAGATATTAATATTGACACACCAATTTCAATATCTGCCGCATAATGCGATCCTTCATATCGCTGTCGTATCGACTTGATATTTACCGAATTCGATTAAGTCTAAAGAAAATAAACGAAAAAGTGACCGATAAAAAGCAGTGGAAGATTCGTTTTTTCTGTGCCACCATGGGCTGATAATATTTTCTTTGCTTGTCGCGGTATTTGGCGGGCAAACATAGTAATGAAGGAATTGATAGTGGTCGGTCGATGAACTCATTTTTTCGATTGTATTTTTAGTATCGATGCGTTTATCGCTCGGTATCGAGAAACGTTCAATGGAATCAGAAACGACTTTTATGTAAGTTGTGTTAGGTAATATGATAACCGATTGAGCAATAGTTGTTATTCAAGTTTACTAGATAGTTTGTTACTATGTATGATAGTTGGATTAACGATGTAATCATACATATAAAATACGAGGTATTGTTAAAAAAGTAAACCCTAAATAGTTGGAAGATTTATCTGTTAAATAACTTTACTTTTGACAAAATATTCATGAGAATCAATTACAATTGCTATAAAATTTTGTGATTGGGATATGTCAAACCTATTTTAATTTGTTCGATAGTCATAGGGTTTGTAAGTAAATTTTAGGAGGCGTTTTGTACTTTTTTCGTCTTAGAATATCTTCAGGCGACCTATAGTTAGAGTCCATTTGACCTATCGTCCTGATTCGGAACAATACGCCTAATCACGCCTAACACACGCAGTCCAAACACGCGAAACCTCAGCACTACGACTATCGGCCGGCGAATAATTACCATCGACTCGCTGACAATCGCTCGATTCCGACACAAAGCGGCATAATCGGACACAGTGACGAATGCTCGTCTAGCACTAGTAGGCATAACTGTAAAATCATCCACTCAAATTTCAGCTCTAAGCTAAAACAAATAGAGATTGGTTTGGGTTGCAGATGCATGGCGGATAGTGATGTGGTGGAGTGGGATCCAGGATTGTGACAGGGACAATGCAATAATCCGCGTATTGTTGAATGGACATTGTTGTTTTAAGGGCGGCCGGCGCTCGCGACAATTGTGCGCTTTATTGCATAAATAATAATGTTATTTCGCCCAGCGGCGTTTCATTGTGGCATTTTGTCGCTAAACTTATAGTATTGTGGTACGAATGCAGGAATGAAATGCGTTTAAAACTTCACTGTATCGTTGTTTTACCGGTTTTTTTAAATTGAGAGCTACGCTCAAATACTGGACTGAAATCCGAACATTATTTATCAACTGAACTTTATTTTGTAAATAAGAAAATATTTCAAAATAGCTCAATCCTGAAAAAACCTTGATCAGTAAAATACGGATCACATGGAATGCACATAAGGTGAACGTCTAATTCCAAAGAAAGATTATAAAGATGCAGGACAAGAGGAATAAAAAAACGGTTTCAAAACCATGTCTATGGTTAGTAATGAAAATTGCTTACAGGAAAACAATTACCCTTGTACTAAGTCTCTATGAAGGAGAGCCCTAGTACAAGTCCAACTGACTACACAAATTAACAATATCTTCCTATTTCAGAGCACTACACATGAAAGAACACCCCGACTACAAATACCGACCAAGGCGGAAACCCAAGGCCTTGATCAAGAAAGAACCAAAGTTCGGCTTCGGCATCAGCGGCCTCATGGCCCCCGTGCCCCGCTTAGTGACCCCCTCGGTGCCCCACCCAGTGCCCCCCTTGTCGATGCCCCACCACTTGCTGCCGGACAAGCCTGAGCTGGGCCGAGCGCTGTTCCCGCCACTACCGTACCCGTTCTACCCATTTGCGAAGATACCAGCTGACGATGGCAAGCTAGCGGCGGAGTTGGCGCATTTACAGGTTGGTTATCTATATTTTTTTCTGCCACCTATTAGTATCAGCACAATGTCGCTAGCATCCTAAAAGTTAACTTAAACATAAAGGTCGCGAGAAGAACCTGGATGTGGGCAGCACAGGACCGTTCATTGTGGAAAACCTTGGAGGAGGCCTTTGTCCAGCAGTGGACGTCATTTGGCTGAAACGAACGAACGAAACATAAACGACCACAAAACCCAGCCACATTCCTTGTGCAACTAGTGACACGATATCTCAAAGCCCAACCTGTCACAAGATGACTCTGTTTGATTTCATCTAATTGAATATGGCACGATGCTCTCAAGAGTTTGAGGTCATAAAATATTAATTCATTGTGACCATCTACACTCAAAACGACCCATTCCCAACAAATTACTATTATCCTAGTTCAGTCTGAACCCTACTCATCCAGATGTTCTCCTACCAGGCCCTGTACGGCGGCGCGCTCTACAGCAGCGCTCTCTACAACAGCGCCTTATCGCCCTGCGGATGTCCTCCCAGAAGGACACCGTCGCCTCCTCCCGCTGACGTCAAGCGACCCGTGGCCTACGTCCTCATGAAGGACGAGGAACCACCCCAGCACGTCATATGAAGGCCGGTCGCCCTCCCAGCCAGGGTCTGGCCCGGGCATTGGGAGAGGCCTTCCACTTCTGTGCAGGAACGAGAGACCAGCTCGCCTGATAGCGTTTGAAGAGACTGTTGTGACTTTAGTTCAAGGATTGTCAATTGTTATGGTGTGGACGTGGTTCAGTGTTGGCACATTCGTTGAGTGACGCGATGCAGTGTTTTAGAAATGATGAACTGGAAGATGATTTGGAGTTTGTAAAGCAATTTACCCTAATTCACGTTTATGGAAATAAAATTAATAGCAATCACCTGGATTTTAAACAAATTCAAACATGTTGATAGTGAAATGGTATTTTAACCAATACAATTTTACTGAAATAGTAATTCATGTACTGTACTCGTATACTGGCACTATGGTAAAATTTAAAAAAATTGATGTGACAGGTCAAGAGAACATGGTGTCCATTTTTTCCCACATTGTTCTCCTTCCTTTTACCACATAAAAAATACTTCTAAAAGTATCAATCATTAAAACTCGGTAGGAACTTTTGAAAATAGAGAATAGAAAGAACTCTTGGGGTCATTTCAGTTTCCAACCCACTAGTAATTATTGTAATAATGAAATCCATAAAATCTTCGCTCCGGGTGATTGCCTTCAACAGTAGAGTGCAATAGAAATCGACTATTTTGTGCAATGTACAGACGTAGAGACGTCTTTTGAATAGATAACATATCATAGAGTTTAGTAGCACTAGGTTTAGCTAGGGAATGAACGTCAATTTTGTAAAAAAGACTTCTAGGTCGGTTTGTTTATCACTACACCACATAAATGTATTGAACAGTGACACAAATAATGGATATATCTATATGTAAAACACGTTTTATGTAGGGTGGCATATTAATAAAATGTTACAAATAAAATCAACCCGGGTGTGTATTTTTTTTATGCGACTATTAGTCTATTCATTCATTATCTAGGATCGGCAAAATGAAACAATGTGTTGCTCTTGTAAAGTAGTGATATTTTCAACAATATTCTATCATCTATTCACACAGAAATTGTTTACGAATCACAATAACAGAGAAACGACATTTAAAGTTCATCAATCTTAATTGAAACAAATATTTTTGAAATCTTATAAAATTACGTTTGTAATTTTCACCTTTCTAAAAAAATATCGCTACTAAAAGCCCACCCTATATTACAATCTTAATCTTATGCACGCCATACAGATTAAACATATCGATTATTGTAAATATTACACTTAAGATATTTAGACAAATATTGCCTAAAATTTTCAAAGAATTATGTGGTTATTATTACACTCTTTCACTGCAAGTTTTCTTTATGAAGTTGCAAGTTGAAATTTTTTGGGTGATATGAATAATAATGTACTAAGTTATTGTTGTTATTAATTGGATTTAAGACTAAGTTTCATAATATTGTTTTTTTTTACAGAGAGCATAGTAATGACGAAAATTTACTGTTATATTAAGGTCTGTCTGCAATTTATTAAGCAAACCCAAGCAAAACTACGATAAATTTTATTTTCTGCTGATTTATAATCGAATGAAGTTATTAATTTTAAATCTAGTTTTTTTGTTTGTTGCTCTACATACTTTTAATTACATTTATTGTACTTTTTACCACCTTTACCAACCAAAAACAGTCTCTATAAAGATCATGAATACTTGTGAATAAATTGTTTACTCATTGTAATATGTTTAAGGTTTATAATTTTTGTAATTAATGTTGGTTTCTCAAATATATTGTTACATTGTATATTTTATTTGTTATTGTTATTTTGTAAAACATTTGTACGTTACTATTTTTAAGTTTTAATTTTGTCATTTGAGTTTCGGTTAACATTATGAAACATGAAAATAAAGGAATATACACTACATACGGAATTTCATTTTAACAATCAAATTAGTACCTACTTTTATAAATTAACTAGCGGCCGCCCGTGACTTCGTACGCGTGGAACCCGTTTTACCCCCTTAGGGGTGGAGTTTCGTAAAATCCTTTCTTAGCGGATGCCTACGTCATAACATCTACCTGCATGCCAAATTTCAGCCCGATCCATCCAGTGGTTTGGGCTGTGCGTTGATAGATCACTATGTCAGTCAGTCAGTCACCTTTGAGTTATTTATATTTAGATAAAGGAACTTTAATAATAATATTTATTTATTTCTTACTGACTAAAAAAGGCAAAAGTCTGAATGAAACTTAAAATCCAAGTGATCATTGAATACCAAATCACCGATTGTTCATTCTACCCTAAAAAAATATGAATATATTACAAGATCATGCAGTCGACTTGCCACCGATCAAGTAAATGAAATGCATCAGTCAGTAATCGAATCTGCGCCCGCGCGCCGAAGCGTGGCGAGCCATCGAAAACAATGCGCCCTCCGAAAGATTGCTGCTAATCGGGGCGGACAGGCTCCCGGCGTCTCTACACTGGGATGACCAACGATTATGTATGATGTGGGACATGTTCTAATTAATGACACTGATTATCATGTTCTAATACTTCTAATTAGAGAGCAGTCGCCGTGCAAGAGAAAGGTCGTGGTTTGGATTCGTAAACAATTCGATTCTTCAAGTTACTTTAAAAAAAATGTGTCAGTAATACTGACAATCAATCAACAAACGCAAGCAGCTAGCTGAAAAAGAACGGAATATCCTGTATCCAGCAGTATTCTGCTAAAATGATGATGAAAAAGCTCTATGGTTACAAAACTGTGAAAGAATCTGTTTTTTTATGTAGAAGTATGTAGTTACAAAACTTATGAGTATGTGTTTTACTCGTCTTTAAGAACAAAGTAATGAAGGCAACAGTGTGTTGCTTGATAAAAAAACTTCCTATCCTTTTAAGCAATCAATCATACTGTAAAATAATACAAACCATACACTACGAATCACTACACGTGTCTGACGTTGTCTACAATGACGCTTTAGGTAATCACTGCCCCAATCTGCATTTCAAAGTCCCAAAACAAACATCCACCATGGTAACACCACCGACACCTCTCGAGAAGTCACTCGTGTGAATGTTCTTTAAAAACATGGGGTGCGCAGTTTAATACAGGGTGTTCAATTATCGACGATAAACACTGAAGAGCTGTGCGTGCGGCACACATGTTGTGGGACTGGAGATGTTGGTGAAACGCACATGTGCGATTTAGTTTGTTGCTTTTCTTGACTGATGAAACTTGTACGCAGTACCTCTTAACTTTAAATAAACACCTTTGATCACTCTATTTTTATCAGTTGAAAAGTAAAAGACTATTGACCAGGGACATGAAATAATAACGAGGAAATATCATGAAAATTATGATGGGATAGTATTATGCACTAGCAGGCTTTAAACAATCTCATTTAAATAAAGTTTTTCCCGCTAACAGTAGGTCATATTATGAGTCTTTATACTCCGGAATACTTAGGTAATGGATAATAATATTAAATATTCAATTTTACATAAAATAATGGTGATAAGAAGTCTAGGAAGGCAATGTAAAGAGAGAGTAACGCAGGAATAAAAAGTTATAGCAAAAACATAAATATTCCCAATAATAATGTACCATTAACGCAGTTTAAACTCCACTTTAACTCAACACATAGGCCCTATATAAATTATCGCTCAGTTTATAGAATAAAAGGGGCATCTCACACTTATCGTCGAAATGAAAATTTTATTGAGGGCCAATAAAAAGACAATAATCGGGGTTTATGCAGGGCGGCTGTGGGCGGGCGGGGATGCGCCCTAACTGCACGGCGATTAAATAATAGGTGCTTATTTAAGGTGCTTTCGGGACTTGAAAAACAATATTTTATTTTGCTCACAAGCTGCACCTGTATACGGGAAGTACCTGGACCGGTCGTTATGGAAATCTTTGGGGGAGGCCTTTGTCCAGCAGTGGACGTCATTTGGCTGAAACAAATGAACTCACAAGCTATCCTCGTAACTTCCTACCTAGGCGAGGTTATCATTTATTAAGACAAATAAATCTCATTTATATGCATCTGTGTCCAGTAAAGGGACCTAGTGACATCTCAGGATCTACAAAAAATAGGTAGGTAGCGCAGATTTTAAGTTATTTATATGCCATTGTGCTGGGGAAGTATTTACAAAGAAATCGCTTTTTTTAATGTTTGCCAAAAAATGGTCTTCTTAACAGCCGCCCTTTGGTCCATTTACTTGACGATAAATCCAGAGCCATTACGGTTTGATACCTAATATCGGATAACGGTTATCAGGAGGTACATTTTAATACAGCATAGCATCGTTATTTTAAAGTCCTAATATTTGTGCTGTAATTTGAGTTTATTTGTCATTTTATTTAGGCTTTTAAATAGCTTTTTAAAGGCTCGATATGGCTGATTTAAAGATCAATGACAGTTGCACCTGAGTTCCTGGACATTTTAGGAAACGTCTGGGTTTGTTGTGATAGGAATTTCCACTAGAAATAATCTGATACCAACGTAAAAGAAGTCTAAAACAACTTGAGAGCATAACTTTGGGTAGTTGACACCAATGAACCAATAATAAGATCTTTACTTTAGTATTAAAATTCAGTACTTTTCAGTTTTACGAAGTTTTTTATTACATCTAGGAGCAAATTGATATGTTACTAGCATACTTCATTTTATGGTTAAAACGTTAACAGTAAATATTTTCCCTATTTGTCCCAATTCCAAAGTATTGGTTAACCGCTAATATCGGCAAATGTAATTAGCCAGCCAAACACAACAATGGCATACCACAACTGAATGATAAACTACAGAATTCGTTATAATTTGCTAAATCAGATTGATTGTGGCGGTTCCAGAGTAAACAATGCAACTGGATTTTACCACATGTAAATAAAGATAGAGAAAGCGATTCAAGGGTCGTTAATTCGATCCTCGTCGAATGCAGAACTATTGTGATGAAACCACTTTTAAAATTACAACTACTTATACATATTAGCCTGTTTATATTTCTGCCTGGCGTTTAGGATGATTTCCCAATCAACCTTTGAGTTGAGCACCATAGCAGTAAGTTTGCCTTTGGTCTATGCTTCTGTGTACTAAAATTTGCAATAAATAAATGATGATTTTTTTCTCATCTCACCCGCAATTTCTCGGTTAACAGTATAAAAATCATAGCCGACCTATTCGTTATAACTAAACCGTTTTAAAAAGCGGTTAGACGGCGAGATTGGAAAATAAAAAGCGAAAAGAGCAAAAAACCGGTTCTCGTTTACACAGGCCGCTAATTGCAATCCGCTGCGCGGTGACAGACGGACGGCAGATTGAAAATTATACCATAATCGGGTTACACCTGTTTGCTACCGCGGGCGTTTGTACTTATTGTCAGGGTTATTTTAATCTAGAGCGTAATATTTAGGTTTCTTCTGTTACATTCTGCTTTAATAGTACCTTACCGGCCGGTTGTCGGTCGGTCTCAAGTTTGGTCATATAAGAAAGGAATCATCATCATCAAGAAAAACAAAATTCAATGCGACGGTAGAGTGAGAGCGTAATCCTGAAAAACTTTTAGCAATATTCTTTACCTTTACCATTCCTAAGAACCATTATCTGTTTTAATAAAACAATCTGTTGCAAAATGCTTCGAGTAAGGACATTAAGTTAAGAGACGAGTCATAGACAGCGGAATGGGTCAAGCCAAAAAAACTAAAACTTTCAGGACTAATTCCACCTCTCTTTCCTACCACTGTAGAGCCAGCATGTACAGTTTAGCCTAAAATTAGTTTTTCTAGAGATAGCTCTTGCAACCCGCAACGAATTTAATCAGAAGTAAATAAGGGGAGCTCGTAAATCATAGGCATCTACAAAGAAAAACTCTCAGTTCATGTGACCTATTAATTTGAATTCAATTACCACAATCCTCCAACACCTATCGCCTCTAATAATAGAATTCACGGCGAGTGCGGCAAGAGCCGAAATTACCCCCGTGTTCGGTAAGCCCAAAGTATCGTTAACAAAGAAAAACTCTCGTTTCATATGAACTACTCGTATCACTTCGAGTCCAATTACCACAACCCTCTGTCACCTATTGACTTTAAATAAGCAGCATTCACGGCGAGTGCGGCAAAACAGCTGAAATTACCCCCGTGTTTTGTAAGCCCAAAGTATCGTTAACAAAGAAAAACTCTCGGTTCATATGAACTACTCGTATCACTTCGAGTTTAATCACCACAACCCTCTACCACCTATCGACTATAATAGCAGCATTCACGTGTTCGGTAAGCCCAAAGTATCGTCAACAAAGAAAAACTCTCTGTTCATATGAACTACTCGTATCAATTCGAGTTCAATCACCACAACCCTCCAACACCTATCGCCTCTAATAGCTGCATTCACGGCAAGTGCGGCAAGAGCTAAAATTACCCCAGTGTTCGGTAAGCCGGCCCATTGTGCGCCGTATGTCTTGTCCGCCCGCCCGCGATTTACATGGAATCGTTTAACCGACTATTGGACGGATTGGCCATCATTGATAGTCAATCGCTCTACCTTGATATTGATGGAATGACCAGCTTATAAATCTGTTACTATTTTTTTAACTCTTTTAAGACTCAAGAGTGTGTAATGTTGTTTGTCTACTATACTCGAAGTATGCGAGCTTCTCAAAATTACTTTTACTCATATTTAAATGAAAC